TTAATAAGTAGAAAATCTTTTTCTAAATTCTCACAGGTGTTACTCAGTATTTATTAAATGATGAGCTGCTGGACTACAAACTGAGAACTGATAAGTTGATAAATAATACATGATGACATTTGTAAAGTTAGAATTATCAGCCACCTTGTGGCTTGACTTTTGTGTAAAGGGTAGCATAGTTAATAGAAAAGGTGGTAGACTAGGAGCTAAGATACCAGAGTTCATCTTTGCTTCTCACTAATTGTGAGACTTTAGGCAGATCACCTGACTCTTCAAGTCCTTAATTTTCTTCATCTGTAAAATGAAACGTTTCAAAACGAAACTCTCTAATTTTCTATCTAATATTTAATTTCTGTACATCTCTATAGTCTGGATTTTCCTGTATAGACTTAGTTAAATATTTTAACTAGTGCTTAGGAAATTCTTCTGTAATAATCCTAGAGAGATAATGCCAGGGCTTTATAAACTGCTTGGCAGATGTGTAGCAATTAATCCATGCCTGATTTTTGGGTAGAGAAAGGAAAGGAAACACAGTTTGCTATAATATGAGTTGGGCTTTGGTATTCTTTCCACATATCACTTGTATTTTGTTTCTGTCCTCTTCATCCTTGAACAGTCTTCAGAGACAGCTGAGTTACTTTCTCTAGTGAGTTATGAATTAGGCTTACAAGATCCTTAACTTCCTTATTGCCCAGAAAAGAATTCACTGACTTGGATAATTTAAACTGTTAAACTTAACTTTACCCAACTCTTTTACCATTTAGATCATCTGTACTATAATGGATTGCTTTTATATAAGCTAAAGCAGCACACAAATATTTTTGTTTTTTGTTTTCTCCTAAAAACTGTTACAGTTGGCTTTTTTTCCAATGATGAATTTGGTTGCTGTCTTATAGTTGCTTTTTGAACTCCTATTTCACTAAGGGTGTATGTATATAGAGAGGGTCTAACTCTGATACTCTTAAGTCTGTCTTAAGTCAATTCTTATTCTACTAAGTATAAAGTTAAAGACTAAATACTAATTTGCAGCATCTTGTTGATACTGATTGGCATGGATAAGTTATAAGAAAAGAATGGACAGAAACGGGAGAATGAGAAATTAAAACAGTTCAATAGTTAAGTCCATGAAGGTATGAGTGTGACTCCAGTTCAACCCTCTGACACCCAAATTCTTGGTTCTCAACAAAGCCCTTATTTTATGAAACTATGGTAATCTCTGAAGCCTAATATCTACACAAGTTCAAAAGTCCAAGTCTTTATCTACTAGTCAGCCTTTCAAGTCATACTGTATTGTGTAACTAACCTTTAT